GTTTCATTGACAGAACTCCATGCTACACATTTTACCACCACGTGTGAGTACATGTACGATGTGTCATCACTTGTGTTAGTACACGTGTGATTGCATCAGATATGTGATTTGTAGTGTAAGAGGTTCTGTGTCACAGAGACCAAAGCAATAACTGATCACGTAACTGTCTGCTGATTTTGGGACGATTAGTGGAGTTATGAAATAAAAAAACATCATTTGGATACTAATTATTATTCTTTATGTGATAATGTCTAGTTCTATGTCTGAAGACAGAGGTTTTGCTACAAAAATATCTCTTATAAAGAGCCTCAAAATATTCAGTTTAAATTCACTAATTTTGTTGAATGGTGTTTTCATTCACTCACAAATCGTTCACGTCTCCATCCTATTAACCTTGTGTCCCCTCATCGCCCACTAACCAGTAACAACTTCCCAATATTTCTGAATCTAGTTTAATGTTTTTAGTTGAAACTGACATCACAGTTCAATCTCATCCACTAGTCTGCCCGTACAGATCATTTAAATGGCTGAAAGTCTGCATCATTCAGAAACGTTATCCCCTTACAGTAACAGGCACTTGGCAACAGGCTGTAGTCAATACCATCTTAAACATATGATATGAATCAAATTAGAGACACATAAAGATCTGGGCCTTATTTAGTGAAAACCAAGAGTAAAGGCCGGGATATCATGCGGGTTAGTCCATGAAATAATGATGTATCAGACATGGCTGTTCTGTCTTTTAGTTATATTATATATTATTAACATTTCAAATTGTATTCCCCGTTTATTTAGGCCCTTTTTGTTTTGTTTTATGTATATATGTCACACTGTGGGACTGCGGGAAACGGTATCTCGATATTTCTGGATGTATAACACATGTAGTAATTTTGACAATCAAGCTGACTTTGACTTTGATGTATATGGGAATATGTGTACCAGTATATATAATAAAAGAGACACTCCTAGTATGATCACTTTCACAAGTATGAATTCAAAACATTTGTACCAGCATGCAAGGTATTCAGGCATCTGTATGTCTCAGCTTCCTGTGGTTATGTTGTGAATGCGGCGTGGTGATGACCGTCGAGGTGTGTCTGCCCCACTCACTGTGAATCAGGGAGGAAATGGTGGCAGGAGAACAACAGCGGCAGGCTGAGTACGCCGGCATGGTTCATTTTTCTCCCGAGGCAGAGGGCGGCCCACTGGTGACTTTGATGGATAGGAATGCTGCTCACCCACACACACACGCACGCCCACACATGTCCCACACACTCAGGCTCTCACACAACAACTTGCCCGTTGTTGCTCGCACATGGACATACACACACACACACACACACACACACACACACACACACACACACACACACACACACACACACACACACACGCAAACTGGATACACAAGCAATCACACGCAGGCTGCTCTGTCCCACCAGATCTGATATCCAATGTGAAATGTTTACGACCCGCCCACAAGGCCTTCCTCCCTTGTCAATAAACTTCCCAGAAGTATGTGTGATGCATTATCATGTAGCTTCATATGGGGGTTGCTCTTGCGTCCTCGATCACAGGCTTAACCATGTGCATCTTACTGCACACAGGGGGACACATTTAGCTTTTAGCCAGCCTGATGATACATTTGAGCATTAACGCCATTCTTTTTCTTAATCACAGTGTGATTAGTCACATTAGCAAGGATAGAATGAGGGGACATACTGCTGTGGATTAAAACAAATGACATACTAAAAGGAGGGCTGTTTACTAAGAATAAGAAACCCAGCAGTTTGCAAAACAATGCCATGATCAATATTACTTGTAATGAGGATTGCACCTTTGCCATGAAACATATCAGATTGTCAGCTCAACTACAAGGTCTAATTCTGGCAAACAAGGTCAGAGTGTTCTGCATGACCTGAGCTGTGTCGACAGCCAAACCTGCTGACGAGCAGCAGCCAAGCCGTCTCATTGCTGAAACAAGAACTTGACTCTGAAGCAGCCAGAGTGACAAACACCAATGCACATTAGCTTTCGCTCTGCACTAAATTCTCCAACACACACAGATCCCATGATGGGAAGCGTCAAAACAAGCTACAGAGCGAACTGATTCAAAGGCACAGCGTTTGAGGCAAACAAAGGGTTGTGTTTCAAATGCAGGAGGGAGTTTAACCAGCTCCTTTCACGTTGTTCCACTGAGTCAGCATCTTCCAGAGAGAAAGAAAGAGATGGAGCCAGATAAGGCTGAACGGGCCGGGCACAGACAGAGACCTTTGTCTTGTAGTCTCTGGAAGATGTTTCTTTTGAACACACTCTGCTTTCTCTATCTCACACGCATTCACAAAGACACATGAGAATGATTCAGTTGTCATGCAGTGTGATATTAAGCTGGTGGGGCACAGGGCACAGTGGGGATGAGTGAGCCAGACTGTCCTGCTGGAAGGACGGACAGTTCTTAGTTGGTAAATGTTAGGATGTTATGAGGCTAATTTGTTTGTTTTTCTTGCACAACATCCCTCTTGTGCCCAAAGTCAACCTTATTGTGATGATTACCGCCTAACTGTGTAACAGGGCCAAATATCTACACATGCCTAATACAACATGCCCTAATTTACAGTTTATGGAAAGCACATACTGTAAATAAGTATATTAAGGGTGCTTCTCCATTTGAACTTAGCTTGCATTGATATTTTTTATCTGGATTTCAGCTGAAAAACTGCTTAACCTTAAAACCACTAGATTTATTTGACAGCTATTGTTAGTTGTTATTTAAGTTCCAAATGACAACTATTAACCTATACAAAATGTTTCAATGAAGGTGTTGTTTTGAGCTACACCTAGTTGTGCAGCAACATGTAATTGCTGCTTACACCCTGTGAGTATCAGTGATTATACAACCTGAATGGGGCAGTCCATTAAGACTTTTTTAACGTTTACTTAAAAGCACATTAAATGTGCTTTTAAGTAAACGTTAAAATAGCTAAAAACAAATGCCCATAATAAGAAATAGTCATTGTTACAAATTTTGCAACAATGACTATTTCTTACTATGGGCATTTGTTTTTACTTTGAGTCTAAATACTTATCTATTCAAAAAAATAAAAGGAAGTTATGTTTAAAAGTGTTAGTTGCAGGTATGGCTTGTTTCACAAAACAATAGTAAATATACTTGTGTTTTATCAAATTCCCGTAAAATTCCCCAACTCCTTTCTCAGGAGTGTTGTTCCTCAAACACAAAAACAAACCGTGCCAGACACGTTTTTGTTTATCGGTGTACGTGCCCTCGTATCCATGGAGCCTGTTTACCTGCTCTGTTGCCCGGTGACATTTCTCTATGTCGTCAGAGACTGGTTACACCCGTCATATCGCCAAAGCAGTCATTTCAGTAATTATTTTTAAGGTGGTAGACAACGGAGTGACAGAGAGTATTCTCTATTTAGGTATATTGCATGGTTAAAAGTCTTTCCTGGCGTTCAGACAACCACTGACACAGATGGACATCTTTATCTGTTGGAGCTGTGCGTAGGCACATTCTTTCCCAACGACGGGAACACGTTGGGAATTAGAGGCGGTTACTGCAAAGCGAGGCCACCTTAAAACACATGCTGACATACAGAGAACACTTCTCTCCACCCCTATCCGACAAGTGTGTGCCTAGAAGTGTCTCACCTTCCCGACTGTGCTCATTACCAAGGAAGACGCCGGTGTACTAACTACACTCCGAGGCATCACAGGACATTACTGCAACCTCTATTGGTCCGAAGTCTCCCGGTCCGCTGCGTGCAACTAGGCACACTGAAGAGCCTACCGGAGAATTACTCCTTGTGGATATTCAGGAGTTTGGAGTTTTACCTCTGTTTGGGTTTATTTTACATTCCAAAGCTGGGGGAACATACTGGAACACAACACACGCGAAGCTTTAAAGTTTTCGCCAAGATAGTTGGTGAGTACACTTCAATGTGAAGTCTTTCATTTTATGCATGTAATCTGTAATGTCGACAAGTTTGACGCAGGCAGTAGCCCATTGTGTTGGTGGGTTGAGAAATTGATTTGAGAGAAGCAGTCAATCGCGGATCGATAAAAGCATGTTGTCAAGTGATTGGATGAGCCACCTTCCATGTAAATGCTGTGGACATGATTAACTTAATAAAGCCAGTATCGACGACACAAGAATGTCACTGTTACTGTAAATTATAATTAGTACCTGACAGCAAGTCGTTGCTGCTGTTGTCTTTTTCGAAACAAATTAGAAACCTGATAAATTATAGTGACAGCCATTCGAAGAGTTTCATAATTACTCTTTATGATTGAGCCAAGAGCAACCCAAATAAATTCATATTTATAGAAGGTCTTAAAAAACTCTACCATTGCAAAAAGTCTAAAGTATGAATCACTTGTAAGTTTTGATTGGTAAAGTTTATTCCTTGACCACTGGGTGGCGACCGAGTATTTTCTTTGTTATGTTAAAGCCCTGTTTTGGAAGAATACGTGGAGGTGAACTAAATACCTGCATGGTCCTATTTGTCCCTCTTTGCGTGCAAGTGTTGGTTTCTTTGCTCAGTTTTGTCATCTGGCCATATCAAAATGGAAGACATGAGCTTGTGGCAAATGTGTATGGTATGTTGAAACATGCAGAATAATCATGTCATGTTTCATATTTGGACATTAGCCTTTACATGTACTTTTTGAAATAGTTAGTGGCATATTTGGCCTAATAATATGGCACTCTACTTTCTGTAGGGAAAACTCTATCCAATGTTTAATTTGCATGTACGTATCACTTAATAGTGTTGCGATATGCTGCCGTGGTATGGTCTCATATTTTGTTCTATCCTGTAATTTATTATGAATGGCATAAACTCGCCTGCCCTCCACGTGGGTGTGAATCTCGTCTCTCTATTGGCTGAAATTCGCAGCGTCCTGAACTAGCTCTACTGTGATTGGCTGGTCTGTCTGCGTATTTTATCGATGGTGGAAGTGGGATACTTTGTGACTGTTCATTGTCGATATTTCACTGGAGCTGCGGTGGGTAGGAGTGCGCAGCGAAGAGCCTCTCACAACTAACCATATGAGGCTTTGCAGAACACGGACCGTTTGTTTTCTCATACAAAGCTTGTAAAAGCAGACAAAACACCGCGAGGGATTTATATTCTTTTTTACTAGTCCTCCTAGTTTTAGTTTTAAAGGTAACCGTGGCGTGTTTTTGCTGACAACATACTTGCGTTTCTGCCTGGCATTTACACATCTCTGTAGCATATAAGACTTTTGCTTGCAACAAAGAAAACGATCAAACAAAGAGAAAAGCATATGTAGTAGACTTTCCTTTGGAAATATTCTCATGATACCGACGAGAGAGAATACGGACCGGGTTTTATTGTGACTCTTGGAGAGCGAGTGAAAGAAAGAGAGAAAGCTCCCTGAATGCTGCCTTTGATTTGCGAGCAGAACAAGGGACGGTAGTCGGAGCGGAGGATCTGCTTCACCCTTCTTCTCCTCACCCGCTTCATACCCGGCTCTGCTCGTCTTGTCTCCCCCTCCCTGACTACAGGTTATCGGATGGACCAGCACCCCAGCGCCCGGAGCTGCACCAGCCGCGGGGCTTCGTCCTGCGAGGCCGTCCCGACTGAGCCCTCCATGAATCTGTACATCCACTCCACCACCGGCACACGCTTCGAACTGTCCCTGCCCCAGGAGGAGACCGTGGATGGACTGAAGAGGAGGCTGTCGCAAAGACTCAAAGTACCAAGAGAGAGACTCGCTCTGCTGCACAAAGAAACGTGAGTAAATCGGACATATAATAGAATGTATTTACTCAAAAAATTGTACCCTTTTTATGCATGGTTCTTAATAGTCTTAACATTTACACTTGTGTCCCGAGTGTGTAGCGGTAGTAAACGCTGACATCATGAGGCACATTGTTATCCGCAGTTTATAATGCGAGTAAACCGAGTTTAAGTGCGTACACCCCCGGGCCTGCAGTGGTATGCTTTAATCTATACTTCGGATTTATGCGTGGCCGAGCTCATGGGGGCCTCAGAGACAACCTTGGCTGCTTTTGGTCATCAATACATTCAAGGAAAACCACTGACCATCGGGAGGCACAGTATTGGAATTACGCATACGGGACGCACCGGTCACTGGAACAGTATCGACGAGGCGATCTGCAGACTTGCATTGATTCATGCCTCCTTCATTATAAATACTGAAGCTTGACTGAATTACTAATGCTGAGGGAATCAAACATGTTAAACATTAATGAGTGAAGTGACTTGCTAGTCTGTAATTTATTTACTCTGCTGCAGCCCAGGCACATGCAATACAATATATTGTTTACAGTTGACTTGTTACTGTACAATGGGAGGTGGGTGTATCCTGTTCTTGGGTGTAAATGTGAGTGTTACATGGTAATAGCTGGTAGCTTTGGAAGCAGAAACTCATGGGCTGCTGATAATAGCACAGGAAGGCACTGCATGCTGAGGCAAACCCTTTATCATTCAGAATGTACCAAAACCTACAGTATTAGGCGGTTCCCAAATGAACCATGCTCAGGTTAAATTAGATGACAACAGTGCAGGTGGTGTTATGCAAAAAAAGAGAGGCGGGCTTTAGTACATGCAAAAAGTCGGCATTGTTTTTCAGACCCCTTACCATCCCACCCATTGTAATCATCACCCAATAAATCACATCATCCTTTAAAACCTGAAACCCCCTTTTCAATCCCCCCCTGTTCCTAGACTTACAGCACATCTTTGCTGAGGGTCTTTGTTCAGTTGCATGGGGTGAGATTTGGGTCATGCATGTACAGCGGGCTGTCCTAAAAAACCTTCACTAAACTAATCGAGGCAGTCAGTCAGACGTGTGTGGTGTTGGTGCTTCGTGACCTGCAAGAAAATACTATTTCCTCCATCGTGGAGCACACATTCCTGCTCTGCAACAACATTAAATAGTGAAGCCCTGTGAATGTATTACGTATCTGCTTTCTTCAAAATCACAGAGAAAGCCATCATAATACAGCTCAATAAAGAACAATAGACTTGCTATGTCAATAATAGCTGCATGTCGTGCTGTTTATCTTTTCTCATAGCTCTTAAAGGATTCTGGTTTCATAGTTTCTGCTCCTCATTTGTACAACTCAAAATGGCAAAAGAAAATACTTACCTCCACTTAGGCAAGTGGCAGTGGGGCCAGATATGCACTGCGAGAGGTTGTCAAGCTCCACTATACTCGAAATTGAAATATGACAGCCCAATCAATACTTCTCTTTCATGGAGCTTTTTACCCACGGCTCTTTTCCAAACTAGTTTTGGATTCTGTCTGCTCCCCTGTCTGAAGGCTATTTGTGTGTCTGAAGAGAGAAGATATTGTCAGCCCATCTAATTATCATGCTCTCTCTAACCCTGCAGGCGACTAAGTTCAGGCAAACTCCAGGATCTAGGTATCTCTGATGGGAGCAAGTTAACACTTGTACCAACCGTCGAAGCAGGATTAATGGTAAGGCTCACATGGCTGTGATTTTATTTAGTTTGCACTCCTCATATCAACAACAAATACAGTAAAGGAACAGTTTTGCATATGTATTACTTTACATAATTTATGTCTTCTCATATTTGGTTCATTATAATTGATTTATTTTTTAATGAATTGTAAATTATTTTCCTCTCTCTTTAGTCTCAAGCATCAAGACCCGAACAGTCCGTAATGCAAGCCCTGGAGAGTCTAACTGAAACTCAGGTAAGAGAATGTTTCTATGTGTTGATACTGCAATAATGTTGAACATTTAGTATCCTACCATGGTTGCAATCTAGAGAGAGCTTTTAAGCCTTGTGTGTTTGCATGGGATATGGTAGTTTGTAGCTTTGGTTAAGTCCAGAACAACATAGGGACTGAGAGGAAGAGACGAGATGAGCAGGCTGCACAAGCACAAGCCTCTTTGCTTGTCTAATCTCAGCCTCTTAAACAAGCCAAGCCAAGCTAGACATCCAGTGTGAGCTGTTAGGATATAATAAGCAGCAACACCCCTTGTATCCTAGTAACATCTGTGATAGCGTGTGTGTATGTGTGTGCACGCTGCTGCAGGAAGCCGGGGCGGACACCACACAAGAAAGGCTTATTTGTAAGCTGCTGAGAGGACCAGCACACAACACTCACTTGCACCTCTCTGTTTATATCTTTATCTGTAATCTCTCTCCACTCCTCCTGTATTTCATGCTCTAACACACATTCTCACACACATGCAGAGGCAAGTTTCCAGGAAGTTCGCTGTGGCTGCATTGAGATTGAGTGTCGTCACACTCACTCATAAACATAGTGCTGGATCATCAGATGACAGCCTTCTCTCAGTATTAGCACAGGGTTCCTGGAAGCCCAGTTCTCACATATAGCCTGAGTGGGGCCTGCTCTCTCTACTTACAGTGAAACGGCTCTGCTGAAATACAGTATGCATTTGAGTCAGTTTGGCATGACTCACAGAAATGATCAATAGTGAGAGTAAAGAGAAAAGGCAGAGAGTACTCAGTGCTGGCCGCAGAGAGAGCGTGAGTGAGGCGATAAGGCTGAATGCACATAGGCAACAGTGTGACGTATGAAGCACTCTGCAGCTGACTGACTGACTCACACCACTTCCTTTTGTAGCTTTGGGCAACACTGAGATGTACGTAAGTGCACCAGTGATGCGCTGACAACTCATGTCAAAACAGCACAAGATTGTGAAATGAATGATGCATTTGTCCAAGGAATTGTACTATATATTAAGTTGAATGTTGTATCAGAGGAAGTGGGCTGATAGGAGATAGTGTGGTTTGGTATGGCTTCATTTTCGCTGATCATTTTCTGGAGGAAATCCTGGCCTTGTTGCGTGTGTGTGAACTCAGCATGTGCCTCGTAGCACTGACAGCAGATGATTGCATATGTGTAGGTGTGTCTAAGTGAACGTGGGGCCGTTACTGGGTGTGTGTGTGTGTGTGTGTGTGTGTGTGTGTAAGTAAGTAAGACAGGGCTGAGCAGATCGCCTTCTGCCCGATCCTTTATCAGGATTCTGGGGGAGTTCACAGCTAGCTAGCCAACCAACCAAGCAGAACATGACAGCTTGCAGGGCTGTTTCAGACTTTTGTGGAGCAAGTAAGATAGAAAATGTTTTATGGAAATGGAGCCCCGGCAATTATCGAAATGGGATTTTTTTTCCCTTCGCTACGTCCCCCCCTTTTCCTCCTTCTCCCTCTCTTGTTTCTGCTTAACAGCTCTCCTAGGGCCCTATGATTTAAATGTGCTGTGGTCTGCAAGTCCGGCTAGCTGCTTCTATTTGACCGTGATGGCTGACTTCTTCAGCAAGGACAATCCCAGCCTGCCTTAATTCCTCCTCTGTCATCTCACTACACTTTGTGCATGACATCTAAGCTGTTAAGCCACTGCCCCCTTGCAACCCATCAAAATACAGTTGCCTGCACTACTCTCCTCTCATTCTGTCTGCTAAATAGAGGCTGTGTGTTCAGCTTACATATACAGTGATGCACAGACGGATGGACACACACACCAGAGTTGAAAGGATATATTTAAGAGGATTGAGGATTGAGTTCAGAGAATGAGAAAATGTCTGATCCCGGTAGTAAAATGAATGTATATGCAGAAGACAAGCAGTGAAAAGGAAATGAAAGCAATATTCATGATTTTCTGACCGTGTAGACAGTGACATCACCTCTCCATCTATTGATCTCTGTATTTGACAGAAAGAAAAAGGATTATGTGTCCCTCTTAGCACACAGGGACTATTTGCTCATTGATGCACATTGATGTTAGTATAAAAGCCAACCAGGCAGGCAGGCATCACCCTTACCATCCCCCCGTTACCCTTCCCCCATGCAACCACCTCTTTGTTCCTGTCTTAAAGCATGAGCACCAAACCTGCCCAGCTGACAAACCATCAAACACACAACAATGATTGAGGGTCACCCTTTAGGTTTGTTTCTCCCCCACAAACCCCTTTTATCCTTCATACATCCATCGGCGTCAGCTATACCCAATTGAGTGCAGCTACAGTGGTGCATACAGGTTTTCAAAATCAATCTCAAGCCGGAGCGAGGCTCAGTGGGCTGCAGATTGACAAATTCTGCCTTGAACACTAACACAGATTGCTTTGGGAGGAGGCTGTGTGTTGCCATCCCATATGTCCCCGCGGAATACGCCGTTACGTATCTGCTCTACTTTTCTTACTCCCGCCGACAAGCACCTCCTCTCCTCATCCACTCCCCTCCTCCTATTCTTCATCTAGGTACGACAGGCAACAATATGGCACCGTTTTGTCATTGTGTCTGGAAGCGGGCAGATGAGAAAAAAAGTAGGACCTTACAGGAGTCACCCCTGGGTCAGCCTCACCTCATTTCCTCACACTCAGTCTCCCTCAGGAGGGAAAAGAAAGGGAGAGCTTTGCACAAGTTATTCTGTAACATGTCGAGTCGATGCATGTGTGCAGGTTCTGTAGGTTGGAGGTAATGGGGAGGATGAGCTCATATGCTTGGATAACCCACAGTTGAAAGGCGAGAATCTAATGGAAGAAAGGAAATCAACATTTGGCTTACCACTAGAAACGGCAGATTATGGTGTGTGTGTGTGTGTGTGTGTGTGTGTGTGTA